TGAGCCAAAATCATCACAATTAAAAGAACCAAAGACTTAAACTACTTCAGTCTGTGTGCATTGAATTTATTTAATACACGAGTTTCACAATTTGAATTGAATTACTGAAATAAATGAACTTTTCCACGACATTCTAATTTATTGAGATGCACCTTTATTGTGCAAGGGTTAAATGGATTTCATTTAACCCTTGTTGGCTTGAATGTATAAAGTCTTGCATATTTTCCTTCAGGGATGAATAAAGTTGTATCTTTTTGATGCTCTTCGATCCAGGGTTTCCTCATTATCATTCCATCACCCTCTTTTTTGCTCTCTCTTTTGTTTGCATCTGTGTTTTGGGTGATGTGTAGGTCAATGGTTCTCAACATGGTTTTGCTTCAGGACTCAGGTCAAGTCCATTTTAAAAGTCTATATTGTTTTCTGTGCTAACTGTGGTTTGTTGCAGTTTGTTATTAGCATTTAGCATTATTTTGTCCCTGCTGACTTGTCAGACAGAAGCCCACCTTTGGGTAACATGTGGTAATCATTATTTGGATGAGAGTATATTACGGCCTGTTTCTTATTCTCTTTTGTAGGTCTTGTCACAAATTGTGTGTGTGTGCGTCAGAGAGAGAGAGAGAGAGAGAGAGAGAAAGAGAGAGAGAGAGAGGCTACAGCAGAGAGATCACAGGGACTTCATTAATGAACCATGTTTTAGAATAGACTGTGTGCTTATGTTCCAAAACTCTCTCTCTCTTTTTCTTTTTAACATCTCATACCCCCACTTTCTGTCTTTCTGTATCTCTGTCTGTATCTCTCATTAACTTTTATTCTTGTTAATTCGTTTAGTCTTTCCCCACATTTGCACTCTATTTCTGTTTAATTTAGTTACAACGATTGTTTTAGGCTGAATGTTCATGTATTGTCTCTTTATAATGGCTGCACTGTAATTGTGGAGGTCCACTTTATAATTTTCAATAATTCAATTCAATAATACTGTCATTTTGAGGATTGGCCTGATTTTTAACCATTTTTTAATTTTGTCCTGCAGGCAGTGGACTGATAGGGAACTCCTCTGCCTCCTTCATGGGAACGTTTCTGGCCAGCAGACTGGGATCTCCCCCCTCCCACCCCAGCAGACCTCCATCATCCCCCTCTTCTCCCCCCTATCGCTCTGGACTTCACTCCACAGCCCCGTCACAGATCTGGTTCCCACACTCACATGAAGGTGATCTATCTATCTGTTTCTCTGTTCTGTGTGTCATTCTAAATATCATTTTATCTCATTCTATCTACAGTTCTAAGTTTCATTCTATCTATCCTTTCTATCTATCATTATGTCTATTGTTCTGTCTGTCAATCTTCTTTCTATAATTCTATCTGTCTATCTGCAGTCTATAGTATCTGTAGTTTTCCATCTGTCCGTCCATCCATCCATCATAATCTCTGCAGTATCTATAGTTCTTTCATCCATCTTTTTCATCCGTCTTTCTATTCGTCGTTCTTATGCCATATCTATCTGTTTATCATTCTCTTTCTATCTATCATCCTATATGCAGTATCTGTTGTACCATCCATCCATCCATCCATATCTTTCTGTCAGTCTGTACTATGCGGTTCTTCTATACTAGCACTGTAGAAACACCCAGCATGCTTTCTATAGCAGTCATAACCTAACATGGACAAAAGCACAGTTTAGAGTATGTTTGAGAGTCAGTGTGCTGTGCTATATTAGTGCACTGCTTTCTTCATTTCTATTTTTTATATATGATCTTGAATGTGTTTTTCCACTTACAAGCACTCAGTCTGCTTTTAATTTGAATTTAGACTGTCCATAATGTGCAATATATTATTTTGGATGTATATATCTCTTTATATAAATGTTTATGCCTTAAGTGTGTGTGTGAGCATAGCATGTATTTGAGTTAAAATGCGCACATGGCTGTTCTTTTTAAATATTATGCACAGCTGAGCACTTGCTATTGGTATTTTCACAGATCCGTGTACAACCGCGTACAAGTGTATGTGTGTGTGTATCGGTGTGGGTTAACTGCTCTGTATCTGCGGAGCTCTTGGCAGCTGGCAGAATGGAACAGTAATTGTGGTTGGCAGCGAACACAGTGGTGTTACTGCTGGCACCCAGCGCTACTGTAACTGAATGACTGAACAAATCTGCGCGTGCGAGACGGAATGATAGAGTTAGAGGGAGAGGGTAAAAAATACAGCAGCGTAGCCAATCTAGTGCATATTCTGCTGCACACAGAGCTTTATATAAACCATCAATAACCCTACAACAATAAAAATAATCTATAAAAAAATAAAACTATAATGATGATGCTTCTGATTACCACCATAAAAATAATAATAATAAAACTAAGAACAATAATATTAATAACAGAATGTGTCTATAATGATGCAAACGGCCCCATCATGATGATAATAGCTTATTATCTGAATCAGTCTTTAATTGTGCTTAGCCCCTCGAAGCATCTGATTGGATGGCTCTGTCCCCCCCAACCCACAGCCGTGTCCCTGCACTCCCTCCTTCATTTGCATAAAAAGCATGTCATCAAAACGAGTCATGCAATTACCCCTGCCTCGTTCCCCTGGAGACGGTCCAGCCACCGATGATGTGATGCCCCACCTGGCCCATTAGGCCAGGGGGGTGAAAGGGGGAGGACAGGAGAGAAAAACGTTAGTTGATTGGATGCAGCGGAACTCCTCTGTGGTTCGGGAAATTGTTAATTAATATTCATTAACTTCATGAGCATGGTGCTGTAATGTCTGTCGGCAATTTAGTAAATTACCTTAAAAGCAAAAAGAAAAAAAGATAAAGAAAGGAAAGGTGAGGAAATGCATTTTGAGCATTATTGTGATGGGATTTTATGGGGAAGTTGGGCTGGTCGCTACAGTCGTGTGGCCACCTGACTGCAAAGCGACTTTGCAATGATGTTCAACATTAGAGGCTCACTATTTTGGGGGGCCGATGTGGGGTTTCCTCAGCCAGACCCAGGGGTCTCGTGACCCTTACGGTTAAACCCAACAGCAACGGTCTACTTCCTGCTCAGACAACCGATACTCACACATGGGGTGTGCATCTGTGTGGGTACGTGAATGCGGTTTTAACTGAGAGATGCTGAGGGTTAGAAGCATCACCACAGGGAGGTGCTGGCTTCCGGACTCTGTTAAGCATGTGTGTGTGTGTGTGTGTGTCTTCTCTGCCTTTTGGCCCCACGGCTCCTCTTTTGGCTATGAACAGTTTGTGGTCAGGCACCGCTTTTCAGTGCCTCCTTTATCTCCCCCGGTCAGGTGTGTGTGCATGTGTGTATAAATGTGTATCTGAGAAAATTTGTCTTTGTAGTCATATCATAGAAATGAGCCAACGATGAGACATGCTGGCTCAACCTAAATGATAACCAGATAACTAAACGCCCAACCGCCTCATGGCAGACAGATCAGTCAAAGGTGTGTGTTTTCCAAAACACAAGATATGGAGTGGACTCAAACCGTTATCTATGCAAAGTATATATAATAACTGTCAAACTCCGGAAAGGACATAAAAACAACATAAGTGGTTCACATGACACCTGTGATATTCAATATAATAGCTTGTGGCAGATAGACTGAAATTTAAGTCATTACGCACTGATAATCTTCCCCTTAGGTGAGCGGTTAAAGTTGCAGTGTTATGGAAGTATAGTGACAAATCTTTTATTCCATATTTTGATGTACATCCAAGTGAAATGAAATGAAAAAGAAAAAAATGTAGGGCAGGGACTTGCTTCTGTCTATCGGTTGGATGACGATTAAGATATTTTAATTAAAAATTTTGAGGTAAAAAAAAAAAAGAAGTGCATGGATGAATTGTTCACAATTAGATCAATAATATGTATTTTTATTTTCATTTCATGCCAGTTTTCAGTGCTGTGTCTGAGTCGAATCAGTGAGTTGAATTCGAGAACCGAATCCAGTTTCCCAAAATAGTTTTTTGAGTTGGATCTTGTTTTACAAACTAAATAAAACAGTTCATAGAAAAAATGATTCATTTGAATTCTGTCTGTCATGAACTCTCAAAGGCAGAAGTCAAGATTTTCAGTGAATAATGACTTACGTATATGACATATACAGTATGACTACACATAAAGCTGCTGTATGATTTTAAAAGATATAGAATACAGCTCATGAATTATATGAATCACGTGTATAATACTTTCATGTTCCTTTTTGTGATTTTGGAAATTGACAGCCCCGTTTACATTCACTATACTAAAAGTAGTGGCCAGGATATTGTTAAAACATTCTTCTTTTAGGTTCCACAGATGACATGAGGATTAGTACATTTTGGGGGTGAGCTATCCCTTTAATTCTAAGCAAGCTTGTCAGAGTGTATTTAGAATTAAGATTTTAAATAGTGCTATTTTGAACTTTTTTCATAAATGTTTTCCTGTAAAAGGCTACACCCATCACTATCAAGTTAAAAGTAACCTGGACACCTGTTTTCCCATCTGTTTGAACCCTCTGAGAAACATCAGGTTGTGCCTGACCAAAGGATGCTTGTGTTTATTTTATCCCTCTTTCTTTCATGCACACACTCACACACAGTTGTGCCCTCTAAATCCTCTAAACAAGTGTTGTGAGAGGCACTAACCACACAGCTGAGTGCTTCGCTGGATGTTAATGTAAAATGCCTGGAGCAGGTAGAAGTGAAGTCGGAACAGCAAAAGCTCTAAGATTTTATACTTTGCGTGTGTGTAAAGGTGTTAGGTAGGTCTGTGCACTACGTTTGTGCAAGAGAGAAGGGAGTTGGCTCAAAGCAACAGAGAGGGGTTCACCTTTGAAGTCCCAGCTGGTGGAGGAAGCCAGGCTTGGCTTGGCATGCTGCATGCAGTGACTGTGAGTGTGTGTGTGTGTGTGTGTGTGTGTGTATGTGTGTGTGT